TATATATATATATATATATATATATATATATATATCTGTATCCTCACGTGTGTTTTATGTGTGCGTGTGTGCGTGCACACGATGGATTTAGGGTGTAGAGAGAAGTTCTCCGCAGCCATTAGCCTCGCACTTGCAAAGCTCTCTGCAACACGATTCATACATTTTCCTGGAGGATGAAAAAACAACCTCCTCTAGATCCCGGAGGACGGGTGGAATCGGCACGGCATATCCTTGTCAGGATATCTTCCCAAGTCGTCCGTATGTATTCTCCGTCATTTCGAAACCTCGGTTTGCGATTCTTTTCCAGGCTACACGCAGCGAAACTCGTCTCTTTCTTGGAAGATTTCGCAGAGTTTCTTCGAGCTCGGTTTCGTGGACACGACCGTGGTTTCACGAACCGAGCGAGAGATCGAGAGATTTGACCCTCTCGATGCGGCTTCGTTTTTCAACGGACAGTTTCATCGCGAACTTTCACGCTGTCAGTGATTCCAATAAATAAATATGCGACAATTTTGACGAGCTAGAAAGTAGAGTGTATAAAAACATCCGTCTTGTCGTGGGATCTAAGCGCTAGTACATTGTCCAATGTTCATTATAGGCATGTCCCTTCGATTCTTTCTTCACAGTAACATACGCATTTGTTAGGTTTTGATGCAGAAGATTAAAAAGAAGGGGCTAGTAAATTATTGGCTATTCGAAATTTGACATTAGCTTTTTGTAATTTTCTATTCGTTGTAGACATGTCTCTTCGTTTCTCTGTTCACGTACCACGTGCATTTGTTTTAGATTTTGATGCAGTAGATTAAACAGAACAAAGCTAATATAATAATGGTTCAACAATGGACGATTATATTCGTCGTTAGTTCACGGCAAGCGTTCAACGATGAACGACTTATACCTATGTAGTTAGTATTGAAAGGATATCGTTAAAAGGTCGTCCGCGTCAGAATTCTCCAAAAAGAGATTCTCCTCTTTCTCTGGTGTATCTGGAACGCGTCGTTGGCCGGAGAACGGAGATCAATCGACAGGGCAGTCCTTTCTCTCGCGAATCCCCCGCAAGGATTCTCCCCTCGTTGCTCGTCAGCTATACGCGAGCAGCAACCACGAGCCCAGACACGTCAGCAGTGGATACG